ATGCAAGTCACTGGCAATGAATATTACCAACTAGTGTGATGCTACGGATAATTTTTTCCTCCATTTTCATTTCATTTTCCGTTGATGTAAGAAGAAATGGAATTTCGTGATCAAATCAGAAGAAATGGAAAAACAGACCTCAAAAATTGAAAACGCAAAAAGAAATTATTTTTTTATTTAATTTAATATTTAGCATTTCTCCCATTTCCTTAACCAGTATTTGCATTTCTTTTGTATTCTGATGTACCTTTACAAAAATACTTTTAACCAAGTATTCAATAAAAGAATTTCTTCGTCCTTTCTAATTATACGATATCGATTATAAAAAGCTTGTTTTCACATTCATCATGATTTCTCACAGCTGGTCGAGAAATAACTAACACTTCACTTTAAAATGCTGGGACGCATCAAGAGAAAAAATGTTCACTGTTTATATCATTATTTGTGATGTGTGTGAAAATATCGCTGTTAGTTGAAGCCAGGAAACAAAGGAAAATGAAAATAATGTGACTAAATTATTTGGTTCTTCTACTCCTCGGCCACCCGACTAAACCGCATTTTCACGCTGAGATCTTCCGCCTCCATGAATATTGACTGGATGTCTTTATCGATCGAGCAACAAAAAAGAAAACATTTTTGACCAGACGGATATTTCACGTTGCTAATACCACTTGTTTTGCATTCATTAACAATGCATTGAAAACCTGATTCTGCAGATAGCTAGTGACGATTTTTGTAAATAAATAACAAACTAATTCAAGTATGTTTTTACAAAATACACTCAAATTTTATATTCCTTGTCGGAGGTTGCGATAAAAATTCTTTCAAACCAATGAGAAAAATAATAATTTTAAGAATAAAGCTTAATCATATTTTACAACACTGAGGATTTTAGAAGAATCTGAGTAGAGCACATACCCATTTACTCACGGTCAAGTGAAAAATTGCTTAACATTCGTGGTTAAATTGAAGCATGACCGGGCATGTAATTATAAAATTGATGGATGTTTATATCGATCAGAATTGATTCCTTCATTCATCACTACAAGAAGGCCATCATTGAATTTTTAAAATTATTACCATATTATTTTGCTTTTTTAAAAAAATGGGAAAATATATTCGATTTATTTATTTCAAGTTTGATTTAATTGGAATTGCTTACTCAGAATCTATGACCGATGTGTATCTGAAATGCAAGCGGTCTGTCCTTTGAATGAACATACAATGAAGAAAATTAGTAATAATATCCTGCCTTATTTTTATCATTATTTTATTTCCTTTGGTTTTTAGTGTGTACTCATTTCTTTCCGAGTCCCGACGGAAGATCTAAGGTTCAGAAATGGCATCATAACATTTTCCACTAATCAATTTTGAAAAAAATCACACATATTTTACATAGATAAAGTCCTTCGTAAGTTGTGGGTTGCACTCTTGAGAAATTTTTTTGTATCTCTTTAAGGCATGGGATACAAGAAATTCCTTCAATGTGTCTAATGGAATCTTTTCCAACCAATCCGAGTGGTCCAGCTACAACTGGGATTGTTGATGTCCTCATGTGCCACATTATTAAGATTTTGATTTCAATGTCCTTGTATTTTGATAGTTTTTTGAAGATCTTCAAAGATACATTGCAGTCTGCAGAGACTGCCATATCAATAAGAAGACAATTTTTTGTTTGAGGTCTCTAATGACGATGTCAGGGCGAATAGCTTTGACTGTTCTGTCTGTGTGTATTGTGTAGTCTCATAAAATTGTTACAGGTCCTATCTCCGTAACCGGTCTGGGTGGTGTTCATACCAATCTTTCCGTAGAAGTTTCAGATTTTCCAGTGTAGATATCGGCCCATTCTGTCATGCCGTGTTTTATATTCAGTGGATGCCAATACCTTACAACCTGATACAAGTTGATCAGTTGTATTTGGATATTTATCACAGTATCTGCATTTTGGACTAACACAATTTTTCAGTATGTGTGCTTGATAATTTCTAGTTAGCAAGCATTAGTCCTGCGCAGCAAGGATAAATCCTTCGGCTTCAGCTTTTAACCTTGCACTACGTAGCCATTGATGGGTACGGGGTTTGTCTATATCAGCTTGTTTGGTACGTGCTGTTTATCTTGCCATCGTTTCTGCATCTGAATGGTTGCATTTGCCTTTGCTTTCTTTAAGTATTTTGCAGCTTCGTTCAATTTATTATGTTTTACTTGTTTTTCTTCACCCATTTGAAACGCTATTTATTATTATTATTAATGGTAGTAGTAGTAGTAGTAGAGGTAGTAGTAGTAGTAGCAGTTATACTAGTATTTTGAAGAATTTCTTGTTGACCTGCATTTATTTTATAATTATATTCTAGGCCAGAACCATTGGCCTCAGGAAAGCAAGTAATGTGATTTTTTTGTTGTTTCCACTTAATCAAAAGACATCTATTAACAAAATACTGAAATAGACAAAGTTCTTCGGAGGATATGGGCTGTGCTTGTTAGGACTATTTTGCGGTGGTGGGGCTGGAGAAATGGCACATCAGGAATTTTCTTGATATGTTGTTGAATTCCTCTCTTTATCAGATTCAAAACTCCAACGAAAAGAGAAACAGTTTTAGTTTTTAAGTGTTACATCTTTTCTATTTCTTTGTATTTCAAAAACTTTCGCACAGATGTTTTAATTACTTGGTAAGCTCATGTCAATCTGTGTGCAAACCCTTTCTTTTTTGTCTTTGATAATACTGTCTGGGAGATTTGCTTGTACTGTTCGATCTGTGGGGATTGAAAAATCCCGGAGGATGATAAAATCTACTTCATCAACTAGAGATCCAGGATGATGTTTATACTACTTGCCAGCTATTGTTATCCTGCACTGATGAACATATCTTCCAGCCAAATATTTATCTACCCTGTCATGACGAGTTTTGAACTCTTTGGGTTTGAGTATTCAGCATCCCGGGATAAGGTGATCAGTAGTTTTAATGTTTTCGTCACATAATATACATTTTGAGGTGCTATTATGCAAAATATTAGCTTGGTAGTTTCGTATAAGCAGGTTTTGGTTCTGTGCAGCAAGAATAAATCCTTTATTTTCACCCTTAATTCCAGAACTCCTAAGCCACTGTTGTATTTGCAAATTGATCTACATTAATATTTTTGCTTCGGAGAAAGAAATGGCTATATAGAAGCTTTTGTTTCTATCTTTCTTCTATTTTTTTTTTTTTTTTTGGCATACCTTTTGTGCTTCTTATTTCGGCTATCGTGCCGATTTTGTGACAGTTGTATCTACTTCAGCGGTATTTTCAAAATGTAATCCGAATTCTCTTGCATATTTTGTGGACAATTTTGATACAGAATAATGTGTATTTACTTTCTGCATGCTCCACTACTAGTTGCAACATCCAATCAAGCCCCATTATGAGTTTTGATAATTCCTGTAGAACCGGGTCCAAACTATGGTTCTTAGGACCTATAGGAGAATTGTTATTTAATTGATAGCAATTTTCTGAGTATATGGGATGTTCCTAGTAATGTGATTTTGTGGGAAAATTGTATGTTGATGTTACCTGGGACACTGTTAGTAAAACTGTCCATTCCTTTTCTCAGGAGGCCCAGAGTTCTGATTACTTATGGTACAGTCTCAGTCTTCATTCCCTACATCCTGTTAATTTCGATCTCCAGGTCCTTGTATTTGGACATTTTCTCGATAATTTTCATCTCAATAAGCATACACTTGCTGAATTTCTTGTTTTTTATGATAATATCAGGTCTGTTGGCTTTTATTTCCCTGCCAGTTTGAATTGAGATGTTCTAGAGGATAGTTACATCATTATTTTATTATTATTATTATTATTATTATTATTATTATTGCTACTGCTTTCAGTTTTTTATTTGCTCTTTGATAGAAACCTTTACCGAGTCTTTTATATGAGGCCTGAAGTAAAGAAAGGTTTTTCTTAGAAAGTTATTGTGCATATTGCATTGAGAGCATTTTTCTGGGTATGTGAGTGATGTCCATGAGAGCAATCTTTTGCATCTAAGATAGTGAGGCGTTTCCTAAGTGTTTCTTAAAGTTTGGATCAGTATCATTATATTTAACCATTTCTGGTGCTTCTATTACTATTGGAATAGCATTTGTGTTTAAATTCTACATTCTTGAAATTCCTATTTTTAGGTCCTTATATTTTGAAATTGTATCAAATTATTTATTTCTTCCTTCATTCTTCTGTTTATTTTTTTTTCATTTGCATTATATTCAAATCTCTTGTGGTCATCGCTTAAGAATGAGTGAAAGTAGTTCTCTTCAAATTTCCAGTACACTCCTCAGTATCCTCATCGGCTCCATCAACATTGTTTTTTCACATTTTTATTATCTTGTAGGTAATATTCTGATATTTGCTTCCAATTCATCATTACCCTCCTTCACATTCGTGTAAACGATCTGGCAGGTGCATTTCTTTCCTTCTTGTTTAGAGGGGAAGGTCGATCTGGATATAAAAATCCTGGTGTACTTTTTTTTATTCTCCAGATTAGTGTCAACTGTTTTTTCATACCATTTTTCTAAGTAGTCAAATTCATAGCACAGTCTCCTATCGTATCTATTTGCCGACTCTTTTGCGACTATTTTGCTATTATGTGGACCAGTTATCAACTTAACTCAAAATAGTTTATAGTTGAATGAAAGGAAGTGATATCAACTGTAAAAAAGTGTGATACCGTATATTTATAGATTTGCGTCCTTCATGAAAAGGCTACTACATTGTCCCAGACAACACCAGATCGTCTTGCTGAATTTAATAACAGTTAAAATCTTATTTTCTTGAAGATTTGATTTCACTTAACAAGCGAATGGTTCAATTTTTTTGGAAGGTGATTCATCTCCGCCATTGATTTTTGAATTGACATAGAAGATTGATCTTATATTTCATGTGCTTTGGACATATGTTTAGAATATCAAGCATTTCATTTGGAATTCGATTCGGTTTTCTGCTTGTCCTTTCTTAAATGTCACAAGAGATTAAATGTCAATTTGTGGAAGGAGAATTACATGCTTTTCATTTATTTCGATTGATAATAAAAATAAAGAGGCAGTTCAAGAGGCGGTCTCTCTCTCTCTCTCTCTCTCTCTCTCTCTCTCTCTCTCTCTCTCTCTCTCATCACTTTCCCTGTGATGAATTTTATTTCAATAAGACTTGGTTAATGTTAACCTATTTTGGAAACGACAGACCAAAAATTCACATACAAACACACACACACACACACACACACACACACACACACACACACACACATATATATATATATATATATATATATATATATATATATATATATATATATATATATATATATATATATATATTACGCCGGATCAACCAGTGGTTCCTCCTACGAAGGGGACGCGTGTTCGAATCCCGCCAAAGTTTTCTCAAATGTGCAGTCCGGTAGATGAAAAAAAGTGGGTTGTGCTCAAGTGCAGCCATCCATTAAAAATAACGTTCGAAGTAATAAAAAATATGTCATATAAAAATAAAAAATCAGTTAATAATTATTAATTATCGGTTGATTTTGACTATTCGATATATATATATATATATATATATATATATATATATATATATATATATATATATATATATATATATAAAAGGAAGATTGTGATTCCAATGAGAGAAAAGTGCGTATATTAAAAAAAGAGAGTAACGCAAAGGTTTTTGGTTGTAATGTGGATTTTTAAACAAATATATTATGCATTATTTTCCATAATTTTACTACACGCGTTTCTGGTCTCGCGACCGCCATCAGATAAAAGGTGGAGATTTCCATATATTATTAAAAATAATTAATTTTTTTCTCCTTTATGTTTTTCGATGTTAAATATTCTCGATATGAGACATTCTCTTTTTGTGTTAGTAATCCGAATATATTTCTTGAACTGGCAGTGAAGAGTTCTGCGCGAAGGGTCATAAAACAATTAAGATTGGTCCGAGAAATGATGAATTAGTTGTCGGTATTTTATCTTTTAATGTTTTAATGACCCCTGTGTGTTTTTAGATCTATTTCCATTTTCGTGTGTTTCTGTCAGTATGCGTGTATATATGTGTATATTCCCTCTCCATATTGAGACATGTTTCATTGAATAATTTAGACAAGTTTTGTCTACTTATTTTCATTTGGATCCTTTCATATTCACAGACAAGCTTTTTGGTGTCATTATTAAAGGAAGAGAGAAAGTTGCCGTGTTGATACATATTATTTTATTCCGAGTACTCTCGACATAGCATAATGTCATCATCAGGGTGCTGTTTATTTCAAACTTAATATTGTAAAGTTCACCATTTTCAAAGACAAATTTGCCCTGTTCATATGAAAGTTAAATTCTTTACATGTGGAGTGAAGAACGCTGTGTAAGTACGTGGTTGCTTGACATAATTTCAGGGGAGGTAACTAAATATGCAGTGTCAACAGTTTTTTTTAAGAATTGAGTATTAAAACTATTATTGCAAACCTTGATATTTTAAACTATCGTACACATTTTAAAACATTTGTGCAGTATTCATAATTAATTTTATTAAGTATTGGTTCCATGTTTTTAACATAGATAGCTTCGGGAATTTTAATTTATGTTTATTATCTTCATTATAAATTATAGATGTATTTTCAACAGGATTTTTTCTGAATTGCGAATGTGGACAGGTATGTTCTTGTAAATGTTTAGAAATGTTGGACATGAAATGTTTAGAAATGTTCACATGAAAACTCAGCCGTCGAAGCAACGTAGTCGTAGTGCATCTAACATAAATTCTTTTTGAGTTAGAGATGTAATCTACGAGAGAACATTTAAATTTATAAATAATGTCGGTTTTCTGCAACATGTTAGTTGGTAGAGAAGAGTCGTTGCGAATGACAGAATTAGATAGACTAGATTTAGTGTAGCAGATAATTAATTTTATTCTTTTACTAGGATCTGGGATGGATATATTAAAGATTTTAATTTAATTTAAATTTAGGATATTTCCGTCTTGGTTATAATTAGAATGTATTTGGTTGCGATATAAAAGATTAATATGTTTGGGGTTAGTTGATGAAGTATTATATTCTATTTGGTTAGTATTAAAATTTCGAATAGAACATCGTGTTTGTTCTTCAACAATATAATTAGGGATGTTATTATTATTAATTATTATTATTTTTTTAGTCCATTGTAGAAAATCTGTTGTTTTTTTTTTTTGATTAATTAATTTTTGCACGGTTTCTTACGTTTTTTTTTTTTTTTTTTATATATATATAATTGCTATTTTATAGTATTCTGAACATTCATTCTTAAAGTTAATATATATATATATATATATATATATATATATATATATATATATATATATATATATATATATATATTCACTCTTATAGTTATATATGTGTGTGTTTTAATGTTTTGGCTGTATTTCTGTATGTGCGTCTGTTTCAATGAAAGACAAGAAAAATTTTATAAGATTTTTATTAAGTCCTTCCGAAAAGAATACTGTAAGAACATTGGAAAAATAAGATTTACATTGTTTGTCATTTTCATTGAAACAAATATAAAACAAATGTTGCTACCCAAATATAAAAAAACAATTAAATTATTACGAGCTATCGCTGAACACAATGCTCATTAGCCTGAAAATAGAGCCAAATATATATATATATATATATATATATGTGTGTGTGTGTATGTATATATATATATATATGTGTGTATGTATATATATATATATATATGATATTTGCTCAACTTGTTGGCTGAACAGCGCGCCCTTTTCTCTTGTTGCATTCTGACTACTGAGATATAGTAAATAATATTTGAATATCATGCAATACAAAACACATTTTTATATTTATGCTTTTTCGCGATGATTATGATGATCATCATGAATAGCACGAGGCTTTTTGACGTAGCTTAGAGGCGTAGTAATATTTCACTGCATCATTTTTTCAGGTTTCCTATCTTATTCCAAGAGATCTTCTGCAACTTAGTTGGCGATACTAAAGTAAACCCTCACAACACACACGCACACACACACACACACACACACACACACACACACACAGAATGAGGATGAGAAGTGGTTATAGCGATTTGGTGGGCGTATTGATTCTTTCGCGAAGGGAATATTTTCATTTGTTTTCTGCATGCCCTGCTGAGTTCTTCAAGCGCACAAGTCGATAGGGACGACGCCATTACTCTGTGCGTTTTACTTGCCATCTCTGCTAGCATCGTTTTGAATAGCTCTTCGTCAGCAAGGACCAACACGTGTACTGTAGCGATTAACTATTACTACTCTTATGACACTCACATAGAAAGAAAGTAAGAAGGATTTGATAAAGCTAGGACAGAGATCAAAGCCTCAAACAACAACGCAAAATCAGCGGTTAAAAGAACAAGAAGAAAATCATTAAAAATGATAGAAAAGAAAAAAGAAAAATGATGAAAAGAAAAAAAAACAGAAAAGAAAACGGAAAAAAGAAAAGTGATATTCACTTTCTCTCAATTTTTAAAAAAATTTTTAACTTTTTTATTTTCATTATTTTTATTTTTTTTTGCTCCTCTTCAAAATACTGCATGATGGAGACGCATTTAGTTTTAAAAATCTTGTTCATTGAAGATTATGATGCCGTTGCCTAGAGCAACGCCGGGAGAAAATTGCCGCGAAAAAAGGTATTTGGAGGTGGCGATGAGAATGGTCATTGAACAACGGTAGTAGTTCTTGATTTACACACAGTGCATGTTGTCTGGGATAATCATCAGGATGATAATTATGACGACGATGACAATGTGACAAAGCAACAATATATTAAGAAAGAAAAAATTATTCCAACCTACCCTTAACATCCAATATACGCATTTCCTTCCCACCCACCTCAAAACCTCACTGCAAGTGATGCCAACTTCCAGAGGAATACGCTAACCACATAAAAAGCCAACAAGACGGGACATATTTGGCGGTAAAGATGTATTTAACTTTTCTCTGCTTTCTTGGAAAGAAAAGGAAACAGCAGAAATCATAGAGAGCTTATAGCTGACGATCAACCGAGTGGAGATTGATGGAGAATGCGCAGATGTCCACTTAGGGAAAGTATTATCTGCCTGGAAGCAAATTTTTCACCCAATAAAAAGAATAAATAAAAAATGAATGAAGAATAGGAAACAAATTCAACATTTGCTTGAATTTTGTAATTGTCTCAAAACTCGCAATAGCTCTCAGGCCCAACCTATTCTCATCCTCAAAATTTTACATCACTATACGCATTTGTAAATCTGGATTAAATCAGTGTCTAGATGCATGCAATGGAAATTAGTCATCTTCTAAGATATTATTAAAAAAATGAGTATTTCGGTTTGTGCTTGTATTTTTTTGTTTGTTTTACAATATGCCAAAATATTATTTCACTCACGAATAAAATTATTTAAAAAAAGTTCCATATTTAATAATACGTATGGAAATTTAGATTCTAAAACTGAAAACATCCAATTTTGAATAGCTTATTGCTTTGCAATCAACGATAAAGATGCAGAAATTGAAGAGAAGTAGGGAGCAATATGGTCAAAAAACTATCTGAGAGACTGTTTAATTCTTTTATAGTTGATATCATAGATGAAGTAGAAAGATGCTTTCTCGAGAAAACAGCACGATTCAGTGAAACTTTAAAAACAAATGTAGTGATTTTGAATTAAATTTTTATCTATTATGAATTATCAATTAAATTGTTAACTTCAAATATAACAGTTAATTATGAACAATGAAGAAATGAACGTTTTGTGCTTGATATTATTTATAGGGATTATTGTCTTTTGCGAAATTCCTTAAAGCTAAAGCTCATACACTGTGAATTTTTAATATGAGGATTTATTTTTATTCACGAATTCTTTTGAACTTTACACATGATTTTTTTTTTATTTCAACGTTTCTATTGATGCTCTACCTGGCTTTCTTCAGGTGCACGTTGTATCTTGCATCTTTTAGGACCTTTTGACAAAGAACCTTGATATATGTGCAAAATAAAATATTGTACTTAAGATTGCTAGAACTAACGAATGAGAATGACCTCAGAGTACACCAATCGGAAAGTTGAGATAACAATAATCATAAGAATATTAGATCAAAGAAAATAGTCAAATAAAAATAATGTTTCCTATTTTTTTCATTACATACAAAATAGCAAAACTGTTAAAATATGATTTTTCTTTTGTTCAAATGAAATGAAAATACTTTGTGTTGGATTTATAAATTATAAAAATCCGGTAAATTCGGTAGCCGCGTTTCCTACTAACAACAACGGTTGATATTAAAATTCAAATAAATCAAGAATTCCGTGTATTGATTTTCATGGCAAACACCTGTCTGTTTTGTCTATCTATCTATCTATCTATCTATCTATCTCTCTCTCTCTCTCTATATATATATATATATATATATATATGTATATATATCAAACTGTGTTGATTCTTATGCAGCTTTCACGGTTTATTTTGCTTTGCTTTTGGCTATGGCGAAATAATGAAGAATGTTGGCCTCAATACTAATTAGCTGGTTCCACTGTTATCCCTGACCCCACATAACAAAAGATATCCACTTCAAATTCGACAGCCATTGTTCATAATGAAATTCGTTCAAGTAAGATACATGCAACTCCAACAAGTAGGTTTTCCGTGACGCTTAAAACTTGCCTGTTATGAAGAAGCATGAAACTTGCCTCTGCTGAAAAATGCCTGACAGTTGATGTGACGCCATGAATATGCGCGAATGCTAGGCGAGGAAGCTAAACTTTTCTCTGCCATTCTTTCAAACTCTTCAGAGACCAAAAACAGTTTTTATTGAACAGGAAATTTCTTGATAGAATCCGGCGAACAAATGAAGGAAATTCAGTTGAAAACGAAAGAAAAAACAATGGAAACACAAGAAAGCTATTGTAACATTTCAAAAACGATAAATGTTTAGAACAGCCATAATTGAGCGTGATGTCGGGAAACAATGTTGAGATAGATTATCTCAAACATTATTACGACTCTAATGATTTTGATCGTTGCCGAATGCTCTACACTTGTGGCTTTGTACCTGATTAAGCTAAGCTTACTAAATATCATGATAATTGTCCTATAAGTAGTGCTGTGCAAATATTTACTTTTCTGCCAATTTTTCTTTCACATATTTTTTTTTCTTTTTTCTCCTTTCCTTTTTCTTCATCATTCTCTTCATATATTCCTATCAAATTCCACAATGTTTAATAAATGTGTATTTTATAATGTATTTTCCGAGAATAGTGGATGTTCTAGGGGTCTAAAGAACAGCGGCTTTGATTGAGAAATCAGAACGCTGCGTTCGAATTCCAGTTGGGTTAGTTATATTCATTTACATGAAAATACCATTGGAAAAGTTATGAATTCGCCTTTTCTCCCCAGCTATGGGTTAATTAGTAGTACATGTATTTGGAAAAATCATTGCTATTCTTCTTACAATCCCCAAAATATTTCGATAAGCCGTAAAAAAGATCAATCAGTTTTTCGAGAATATTATCTGAGCATTGTTGAGTTTTTCTTGGTATCTCCAAACAAAGGAAAATTACTTGACCGTGCTTACCTTCTGCCCAAGTAACAGTTGGTTTTTTGGGTAGTTAAACTTTAATCTATGATAACCTAATATAACCTCGGGATGCTATACAGAGGCAATCTTGCATCTATAGAGCGATGGAAGACTTGAAAGCACACATTACTTCTCTTAGTAACATCCTGGTGAACAGGATACAAGTAGCTAACAGATAATTCTTTTCTTGAAATCTGTTTTTTTTTCTTTTTTATCGAGAAGAGTTTATCTTTTCTTTCTTTTCAAGACTCAGAATAGTTTAAGGTATTTTTTTATTCAATGTTTTGCCAGGATATTATTATTATTATTATTATTATTATTATTATTATTATTATTATTATTATTCAGTCTGCGTTTACTCCAACTGTCGACTCAAACACCAGGCGCCAACTTGCAGGAACCTCAGACTCTAAGATATATAACATTGGTTATGCAATCACCTTCCCTCTGTATCTCACTTCTTTTCAAACGCATCTGTTCTGTCTGAGGGTGGCAAGTGTATTATGGGTGGGGAGGAGACAAATCGAGAGAGGTTACATGTGGAAAGGCCACACGACTTGAGGGTAGAGGCCGTACGGTCTTCAACAAGAAGACTTGAAAAAATGGAACGAGAAAAGCGACCAAAATAATAATATTAGTAATTGATATGGTAGACATTGGAAGGCAAGTGAGGTGCTTTTTTTCTAATCTATATCTTTCTCTCAATATCTTATTTTTCCTTCTCAATATTTCATTTATTCTTTATTTTAGTTCTTTAAGGATTTAATTTATTTTTTCTCTTTTTTCTGTTTTACTCTTAAGATTTTTTTCTTTAGCTTTATTCGATTCATTGATTACTACTTTCTTCTCTTTGGCTCCCTTTTCGTTGGCGTCCTAGGTAAGACCTTAAACTACACCCGCGTCCTGGGTAAGACGTTAAGCTACATCCGCCTCCTGGGTAAGACGTTAAACTATGTCCAGCAACAAGGCGGTTTTGAGGTTTTCTTTCTCTTTCTCTCTGAGCGCTCGTGCAATCTCTTTACCTGTCGCTATTTTTCTTCTTTTTTCCCTCATTCTCTCCTTCCCATTCCAGCTCCCAACATAAATTTTACATCTAAAATTTTTCTAATCTTTCCTGCTTTATGCACCTTCACTCTCCCCGTCGTTTCATGGGTCATCTTCCTAATAACCCAGTTCTGTATCCAAGTCTTACCGCATCACACTCAGGCGACCAAGTGGCCCCTCACAGAGCAACCAAACGCATTCTCGCATATTCCGAGAACCATACACTGAATCCAAAGACCGTTCGTTGCAACTGCTCGTTCTTCACTCCTCGAGTAAGAACCGTTGGTTTAACCACCATATTTTTTTATTGCATGTGGAATTTCACTTGATGTTTTCAGTCCCCCTACCGTACTACCAGTCATATTTTTTGCTGCCTTTTATTTTAAACTATTCCGAAACATTTTTTTATGTTCCCTTTTTCTAGCCCTTTGCACCCTTTCGTCAAACCAATTTTCAAAACAGTCAGAGGCCTCAAAAACATAAGCAACACTGGAGCATCTACCAGCTGTGAGACATTTTTGCCTTTGACCAATTCAAAAACCTAGCCATCAGGATGCACCCCAAGCACACCCCTTCGCCACCCAAGATGAATTCAGTTTTATTTGATTTTATTATATATTTTTCTTTACAATCAAATGGATACGATATTATTATCAAAAGGTAGACATTCATTCTCCTATAACGATTTTTATCTCTTCAACCGGTGGACTTTCCTTCTAAATTTGTGTCGCACTTTTTCGCTGTCGTCCATTTTTCTTATATCCTTTCTTTCTTTTTTCTTCTTTTGCTTTTTAATATCATTTTTACGTGTCTATCGTTGTTTTCACTTTTTCCTGATTTCTTTCTTTCTCTTTTCCTTCTTACTTTTCAACTATTATTTCTTATTTTCTTTTCTCTTTTCTTCTTTTCTTTATGCTTACTTAAAGTTCATTTCCTTCTCTCCTTCTTTTTGTCGTTTGTCTTTTCCTCCATCGTTATTATTTGCACGCTCTTTCAAATATCCGTCTGTCAGTGTTCATTGATGTTTATCCGACTTTTATTTATTTTTTTTTCTATTTGATTTCGATTTATTTTTCTTTCTCATTTTTCTTTCACTCTTTCTCGTTAGTCTTCCTTCTCCACTTTATTTATTGCTCTTGATTTGCTTTTTCCAATTCCGATTTACTTTTCTGTTTTGATTCTTCATTGTCACCCTTTTTTGCCTCCATTATCTTTCTTCTATTTTTATATTCTTTTTCTCCTTCTTTCTTTTAATTCTCATTTTATTTCTTCTTGGTCTTTTGTCTCCTTCCTTTCTTTTTATTTTCCTTTCTGTTTTCATTTCTTCATTTAGTATATTATGTATTGTAAATATCTATTACGCTTTTTTCTCCATCTTCTCTTTCCTTTCCATCTCTTTTTCTCCGTACTTTTTTCTCCTCTCTGCACTCTTATTTACAAATTCTCTTTTATAATTATCTCCTTTCGCTCTTCTCACTCTATTCTCTTTACAGTCCCTTTCTTCTCCGTCATTCGTTTCTTTCTCTTTTTATTCATTTTCAGAACTTCTTTTTTTTCTCTCTCTCTTTCTTATTTTATCTTTATTCATGCATTTTCACGTTTTCAAGCGCTCGCCCATTCAGATTTTATTTCTTAAAGTAACAATATTTTTCCCTCTTCCCCAAGACTAAAACAGTATGAAGAGGTCGGGTTTTTAAAGGCGGCAAAAGTGCATCAGGTACGGCTTCACGGCAGGTGTTCTCATCAGTTGAGGTCATATCGTACGACAAGCAAAGATGACAGTCATTACGGCATCTTTTCACCTTTTATTATGTCATTTGATGTTTACCCCAACAAACGTGAAGATTTTTAAGTAAAAACACAACTCAGCTTCTCTTACGATATTTCACAATGATCTTTAGTTAATGAAACGATGAATGTAACTGTAATTTTAGCAAAGTGTGAGATATTTGCTTCCTATGTAAATACTTCAAGTCTGTAACCTCATAAAATAACTTTTATTTAACAAAACAATTGTCTTTTTCTACATAATCTTCTTCTTTGTTGGAGAACTACATTCAGAGGTGACTATTACATAAATTGAAAATTTTATCGTGAAAATTTCAGATTTCTAAAAAATCAACATATGGCTCTAAACCAGTCTATGAAATTTTAATCAGTGCTCGTTTTACCATGTTAATTTCTTCTGTGAAATATGTAAGCATTTATGTCTGTATATATACGTTTATCAAAACGGTAGGCTCCAAGAAAAATAATATAACGAAAAATTAAAATATGATTTAAATTTTCGAATATCACAGAAAACAGATAACGAAGTATAAACGTATCGCTATTGGCTTGCGTAAATTTAAAAACTCTCGAGTGTGTATCACCTGAAAACAGATAAATAGAAGAGTTTGGTCAACTTAAAAATTCTAAGTGACTTTAAGAAAATCGAAAATGGTAGAAATTAGTAAATCTGAAGTTACAAATGAGTTTCTCTCGCTCAGTATATTTGTACTTCCTTTTCTCCTGTAAACTGTAGCTAACGACATTTTCTAAAATGTATTAACTTTCTCAATATCAAGAACATGTCCATTCCTATGAAATTTTCAAATAATGAGACTGTTTACAATTAAAATAAACACAGGCAGAGAGTCAACTTACACAGACCTTTACGTACATGAACTTTTTTCTGGACATGTAAATAAATTGCAGTTTCAACATTTATTACAAGTATTGGGACTTTACTTACTATATTAGTTGCGGCTATAAGTAATTACTAGAGTTACTATAATGTTCAGATTGTTGTTTGCTCGTCTGGCACTGAATCCCACCATCTGTTTCATGCAAGGTTTCAAACCCCAGATCGGGTTTCCCAGTATCTGGCCCAAACCTACCTCAGCGAACGAGTTTAATCATTCCCTTCTGTTCTCTTGTGATTCCTTACTATTTTCTTTGTCTTGACAAAATATACTAACCATGTGCAAAGCAGCTACGAATTTTATGCTTTGGGGATGAGTACGACTCATCCGGTAAAGACGTCCAACTTAAGCGGAAGACGTAGTACGTATTCAGAGTGTGTCTCAGCACTTACAAATGACCTTGGTCATCAGCCTTTGTCAGTATCCCTAAAATTCAAATACTTTGAATCCCTGAACAGACCCTGATCGGCTATTTCTTTCGATTATATATCACAATCAGTATATTTGTTTACGTTTTTTTGAAATGCGTAATTGTAAAAATAAGACAAGAAGTCACATCTTTTCAGTGTCTTTCATGCCTCAAAATAAAATTTTACTCTCAAAATAAATACTTTTACAGTTAGTGAGATTCGTTTTCATATTTTTCATATTGTATGAGATGGAGAAAACATTTTCCAAGAGATTTTCAGAATTAAATAAATCTGCTAGCTTGAATTCTTTTATCGGAAGAGAGATGATAAAAATATGATTAATAGAATGAAAGAAAGAGTAGTAAAGGGTTCGAAGCCAAGGACAGGTTCAAAAGCCAAGATCCTTATTAATGGAAACACATTGTCTTTATTATTTCTGTTTTATCCAATACCAAACTTAATATGAGAAGAATAATGAGGCGCGTTTAACGAATATGAAGAGAATAATGAAGAGTGTTGCAGTTTTTGCAATTTGAGGCAAATTCTTTGAAAATTTTGGTACGTAAAAGAAGTTGATATCAATTTATTCTTTATAAAATAACTCATTCATATAAAATGGGTTAAAAATATCCAAAATCATTTGACGCCATAGCGTTTTCGTACAGTTCCCTATTCGAATTGATAATGAAGACTGACAAAATTGATTGTTTAAAGTCAACAAAATATGTAATAATTGCAAAATATGTACAACAAATTCGGCCTCTTAAAATAAGTGTCTTGTGTCGCACGAGGAAATAAAAATAAAAATGAAATAAATATATCATTGGACGAGATGCAAATCCGCTTCGTTAAGTGGCAACTGGTCAATATACATCACCTTCTAAAAATATTCAATTATGTTTTCCTGTTTATCCAATGTTGGGTGCGTGTGCTCTTTTAAGCCTGACTTTCACAAGTAGATTTAATATAAAATGAGAATAGAAATTCCCAATGTCTTATATCGATTTCCGGGGACCATATTCATAATGCAAACCGCCTTAAACAATATTGGCTTTTGGTGTTTCGGTGGGATATTCGATACTATTTGTAGTGATCCAAGCACTAAAAACGGACCTGATAAACAGCTACATTGCTTTAAAATAAAGAATCCTGGTCTGACCAACCGTTTCATTCTGAAGGTATTTGGATTCCGTTGGAACAGTAACCCTTTTCCTAAAAAAAAATTAATAAAAGATCAATAAAGGTATAATTAAGGATTTCTGACACTTTGTGCAACAGAAATTACAGCCTAAAACTTCATTTTTGAAGCAACTGACTACATATTCTGTTTAACTGGAATAGAATTTTGTTCATTTTCACTTTTTTTCCTGATGCTTGTTAACGAGGATTTATTCCCGTACAATATTTCCCTATATAGCACAAGAGTATTTGAATACTGCATAGCTCAGTACTTGAATAGCTGCCTATCTTAAACAATATTTTGCAAGGACAAAAATAAATTGTCTCGCGCAAATCTGTATTAAAAGAAGTTTGTGTCAATGATCAGCCAACAACGTCATTTTTGAAAGGAAATTTGCGGTGCTCCTTTGATGATTAATAGAAATAATCTGAAAAAACAGGTTATTAACAATATTGTGTTTAATCCATTTATTCTAGGTTGAACTGTAGTTGAAGAAATTTTCTCCCGAAGTTAATCTCTATTTTGTTTCTGCTAAATTCGGTCAAAAACCACTTGACCATCAACTGTTTTGCCTTGCCGTTGACAGATTTCTTGCATTACAATTTATCAGTGGAGTTAATGAAAATAAGTTTGATTATAAATCCATGTTGATGAGGATTATATGAAACTCATCCCCCAGTATTTACAACGAATCTGACGAAATATCCATTATATTTCAAACTCATTAGTGCCAACAAATAACCAAAAACTAACATATATATGACGCAATTGTCCATTATGGATACATTTTCAGTTAAACCTTTATAGATATTAGAATATTAAAATATTGTTGAGCAAAAAGTGAGACGAAATAAATGGAATTTTATTTCATGGTTTCAAACGAGAAATTCATATCACAAACTCGGACTTCTCTCAATGTTCCCAAAATGCAATAATAATGATCAACATAATATCAAGCAAAAAATTCATAAACAATGAACTTTTTCCAATTATCGATTTTAAGCAATCGTTTGCCAATTTGACAATTTTAAAAATTATAAACGATAAAAAATACAGTGAGTAAAAAAAAAACGGTATAAGTCACAGCGAAAATGTTTTCTCTTTTTTTTTTACAAGATGGCAGAATTAAAATGTAAAAGTTTAAAGAAGACAAAAAATTATAATAAAAAATTGCCTGAGTTCATGCCTTTTCGGCGATTATTATTTACTAAGTTTGATTTAATCTGGTACATGGCATTAAGTGAAAACACACTACACAAACAATGGCCTGCAAGACCCACTTGCTCCACATCGCTTACGTCAGACTGCCTGTGCGTGTGGGGGTGATTTTTAATGGCAGGATTAATAATGAGACGTGTAATTAATGAATTAAAAGCGGAATTAACTGAAATGTTTATACACTTAAAAAAAAGAAAATATTTTCTTATGTTAATTTTGTATTTGCCTTTCAGAAAAAATAACATATATCCAAACGAAAAAATTTTCTATTTTACAAAAAAAAAGGTGTTCCTTGCAGGTTTCATGGTCAATTGCGCTTTTTCTTATTACTTTTACAAAAGCTTTGTTAAATAATTTTTAAATCGAAATTTGTAGATGATATCAAACTTTAACTTGAAAACAGTACGAAGGGTATAAAAAAAACATGAAAATATTACGAAGGGTATAACAGGTGATTTTTGTGAAAACTTCATCTGTGCAAAATGATGTCCAAAACAAAGAGCGGACAATTGTACAAAAGGAGGAAGACATGAAAGTAGCAATCAAAATGGGCGGTTTCGAAAGAACTGAATGCCAGTCCATTTGTAATTACAAATTTGTTTTTTTTTTTGTTTTTTCAAAATGATAGGGAGTAATCTTTAATCTCAGATTTAGCTGAAGCTTTTGTTTTGTTTTTGTTTTTTATTCATTTTAGTCTCTATTCGAAGGGAAATATACAAAAAAGTAAAAAAAAAATCCGTTGGGAAAAATTGGGTATTCATGACGACATAAAAGACTGCTGCAGTTTCAGTGTGTATATATATATATATAGTTATATATATATATATATATATATATATATATATATATATATATATTGGATGGATAGATGTATGCTAAAAATAAGAATAAATAGACGTAAGTGTTTGCCTAGTGGAAAGCATGTGCTTACATTAAGAAGAAATCCTGGATTTTATCTAATACCGGTAGGATATATGCAAGTAGCTCAGCACACACACACACACACATATATATATATATAT